GTAAGATCCGATGCGATCGGCGCTGCTACGGTCACCTATTGGACAATTTACTGCGCATTTGTTCGTTGACTCACGGTAGGCGCGGTTTCCCAGCAGGGTTTCCCCATACCTGGTTCCTGTTAAGGCATTTAGTTACATACTTTGTTTTATTTTTCAGAACTTCACCCATTAAGGAGGCGAGAAGAAAAGTGTAAGCGAGAGGAGGCACATGGGCGGGAGTGTGTCGGTTTTCTGCGATGAAATGAGCAAACTCGGAGAACTCGTCCACGCACAGGGGCCTCGTTTTGCGTTTTCAGCATTTTATTTCACTTTCTCCTTCACTATCAAGTTACTGACCACCCCATTTTCATGTAATATTACCATCGAACGGCAGTCGTGGTGCGTGTAAATAACATACTGGACCGCGTACTCGTGTCACTTCAGCACAGTAAGCTCTCTGCTCTATACACTATTAGAATATTGTAGTCTCTCGTAAGCTTATCAGATGAAACTTCTCCTCCGCGTTGCAACTTTCCCAAGCAGGCCGGGCATAAAAGCGACCGGAGGCAGCTTGAAGGTAACTAGTTAGTTTCTTTCTTGTTATTTTCTATTGTTTCATCTCTTTGGGTTTCCCCTAGCCTGTTGCTGCACTAAAAATTCTAGGAGCACGATCACGGCACAATAAGTCGCCTTCCCAGCACCAAAAGACGACACAGAGAAGTAGACTTAGGTAACTTTCTATGAATTTCATTACTTTGTGCATTTCATGATGTTATTTTATGATTTCTTGAATAAAAGTTTAATTACCCAAGTTTGAGGTCGGTGTGTAAAGTTCCCGCGTGGTAGACTTTATACGATCACAATACGACACCCGACTTTATTGGTGCCGGCCGTTTTACTTACTATCTTGTTGGTAAAGTCTTAGATGAGCTAGGTGTAGCCACCCCCTTAGAAGTTAAGTGAACAGTGAGTACTACATGAGAATGCTCTGATGCAGAGAAATTTGTTCCCAGACATATATTATTGGATGCAGGGTCAACTTTGCCTTCCTGCATTCTTTCAGATTCGATGACAGAAGAAACACTGGCAGATTAGCTTCGTTAGTGGTTGGCGTTCGCCACACAAACTGCGGAAATCCAGCGCTTGTTTACGACAGCGCGTCTATCACAGGGCTCTACTTCTTACATGGACCGGACACTCAAAAACGCACAACTAATGTGTGTGGCTGTGGTGACGTGAGAACTGCCAGAATTGCCTATTTTTTCACGGAAATTCTGTAATAAGTGTGATGGGCCGCGAAGTATAGTTCGCGACGGACGACAGGGGAAAAGGATACCAGAGGAGATCTTCATTTTGAAGGGACGGCACAGTAGATGTTTAACACATTCCAGACCCATTC